CTTTGCCGCGTTAAGATGGTGTCTCTGGATGGATTTTCTGTATGCTGATATCATAACCGGTGTGAGGTGCAGCAATGTCTGTTCCACGGTGAGTTGGTGCGGTTCTCCAAAGATATCCGTAAGAATGGTACGATATAAGGGCAGCTCCAACAAATGTGTTTGATCGTTCCCATGTCATTATCACATCTCCAGCCTCAAGTTTTACCAAGAAAACTTTCCCAACATCTTTTGAAAGTTGTTTTTGCGGTCTTGTCCCCAATGAGTAGGTGTTGGTAAAGGACCGATATGGCTTTTTCCAAGGTGACGCCTCCATTACATATTCCCTTGAACCAAGTCAAGTCTCGGTGTAGAAGTGCTCTGTTAGGGATCTGTTGGTAAAATGTCAGAGCTGGGAATGTCAGAATCTAATAAGAAGAGTCAGGACTTTTCCCCCCATAATGTCTTGCAGTCCCATAATACCAGTATTATCCAGTGCCTTGCTGATTGGAATGAAAGAGTTACTATCGATGAAGTGCCAAGTGCGGGGTGGCCATCCTCCCCCCAGGCTCTTCTTATGTTGCAGATGTATTAGGGGACTCGGCTTAGGACAGATATGTTTCATGCCTCTAAGTGCCTTCTAAGTCCTGAGGGACTAAAGTCTCCTACCATCCCTGCCAGACTGCTGCATGTCGAGTTCCTCCCAATCCAGTGTTGGCCACTGCTGGTGCGGGCGTGGTTGGTGCCAGTCGTGAATACATTGCTGTGTAGCTGCCAGGTGGTATTTCTTGAAGTCCGGTAGTGCCAGTCCCCCCCCCTACTGCCTGGGTAGACAAAGCAGTTCATGCTGGGTGTGTGATCTTTTGCCTCTCCATACATAGCAGATAACTGCTGTCTTCAACGAAGAGAAGAATGCTCTTGCTAAGAAGAGTGGTACTGTCTGAAAAAGGTATGGCAACCATGGCAGGACATTCATCTTGAGAACTGCTATGCGTCCAAGCCCTGAGACATGCAGGTATGACCACTGCTTAAGGTCTTCTAAGACGTAGTAGGGGCTGGAAGTTAGCGCGGTAAAGATCAGTTGGGTCCACCTTCACCCAAGTGCCCAAGTACTTCATCTTTTCTGTGCACCAGCAGAATGGAAACTTGTGTCTCAGATTGTCGTATTCATCCTTGGTTACATTGAGGACTTTGGAGAGGTTCAACTTAAGATCTGAGAGGCTGCCGTAGGTTTCGAATTCCTTCATCAGACACGGTAAGGTGATCGGTGGGTTGGTAATAAAGAAGAGTAGGTTGTCTGCATAAGCTGCCACCTTATGCTCTGTAGTCTTGCCACAAAATCCTGAAATGTCTTTATTACGATGGACCGCAATGAGGAAGGGTTTCAGAGATATAGTGAATAACAGAGATGAAAGAGGACAGCCTTTTCGTGTTCCGTTATAGATCTGGAAATTGTTTGTAAGTGCCCCTTTGACATGTACCCTAGAGTTGTGTTGAGTATACAGGGCAGGTATCCAATTTCTCAAGTTATTACCAAATCCGATAGCTTCCAGGGTTGCGAACATGAATGCCCAATTTACGCGGTCAAATGCTTTCTCTGCGTCGGTCAATAAGAGGACTAGCCATCTGGAACTACGGTGTGCAAGGTGTTGCAAAGCAAATAGGCAGAGGGTGCTATCCCAGGCCTCCCTTCCAGGGACTAAACCCAATTGGTCTGGATGGATAAGGTCCATTAGACTCGTTTGCATTGTGGTCGCCAAGACCTTAGTGAACAATTTGATGTCCATGTTTAAGAGCGAGATTGGTCGATAGCTACCGCATTTTTCAGTGTACAGGGAGTGCAGAATTATTAGGCAAGTTGTATTTTTGAGGATTAATTTTATTATTGAACAACAACCATGTTCTCAATGAACCCAAAAAACTCATTAATATCAAAGCTGAATATTTTTGGAAGTAGTTTTTAGTTTGTTTTTAGTTTTAGCTATGTTAGGGGGATATCTGTGTGTGCAGGTGACTATTACTGTGCATAATTATTAGGCAACTTAACAAAAAACAAATATATACCCATTTCAATTATTTATTATTACCAGTGAAACCAATATAACATCTCAACATTCACAAATATACATTTCTGACATTCAAAAACAAAACAAAAACAAATCAGTGACCAATATAGCCACCTTTCTTTGCAAGGACACTCAAAAGCCTGCCATCCATGGATTCTGTCAGTGTTTTGATCTGTTCACCATCAACATTGCGTGCAGCAGCAACCACAGCCTCCCAGACACTGTTCAGAGAGGTGTACTGTTTTCCCTCCTTGTAAATCTCACATTTGATGGACCACAGGTTCTCAATGGGGTTCAGATCAGGTGAACAAGGAGGCCATGTCATTAGATTTCCTTCTTTTATACCCTTTCTTGCCAGCCACGCTGTGGAGTACTTGGACGCGTGTGATGGAGCATTGTCCTGCATGAAAATCATGTTTTTCTTGAAGGATGCAGACTTCTTCCTGTACCACTGCTTGAAGAAGGTGTCTTCCAGGAACTGGCAGTAGGACTGGGAGTTGAGCTTGACTCCATCCTCAACCCGAAAAGGCCCCACAAGCTCATCTTTGATGATACCAGCCCAAACCAGTACTCCACCTCCACCTTGCTGGCGTCTGAGTCGGACTGGAGCTCTCTGCCCTTTACCAATCCAGCCACGGGCCCATCCATCTGGCCCATCAAGACTCACTCTCATTTCATCAGTCCATAAAACCTTAGAAAAATCAGTCTTGAGATATTTCTTGGCCCAGTCTTGACGTTTCAGCTTGTGTGTCTTGTTCAGTGGTGGTCGTCTTTCAGCCTTTCTTACCTTGGCCATGTCTCTGAGTATTGCACACCTTGTGCTTTTGGGCACTCCAGTGATGTTGCAGCTCTGAAATATGGCCAAACTGGTGGCAAGTGGCATCGTGGCAGCTGCACACTTGACTTTTCTCAGTTCATGGGCAGTTATTTTGCGCCTTGTTTTTCCACACGCTTCTTGCGACCCTGTTGACTATTTTGAATGAAACGCTTGATTATTCGATGATCACGCTTCAGAAGCTTTGCAATTTTAAGAGTGCTCCATCCCTCTGCAAGATATCTCACTATTTTCGACTTTTCTGAGCCTGTCAAGTCCTTCTTTTGACCCATTTTGCCAAAGGAAAGGAAGTTGCCTAATAATTATGCACACCTGATATAGGGTGTTGATGTCATTAGACCACACCCCTTCTCATTACAGAGATGCACATCACCTAATATGCTTAATTGGTAGTAGGCTTTCGAGCCTATACAGCTTGGAGTAAGACAACATGCATAAAGAGGATTTTGTGGTCAAAATACTCATTTGCCTAATAATTCTGCACTCCCTGTATGTGTCAGGTTTCAGTAGAATAGTAATAATGGCTGCTAAAGATTCATTTTGCATGGCTGCCCCATCCGTTAGCTTTTTTAGTGCTTTTGTAAGCTTAGGTAACAAGAGCGAGAACGCTTTATAGTATCTGAGAGAGAATCCATCTGGACCTGGCGCCTTCCCCGTTTCAGCCTATTTTATTGATGACAGCAATTCCTCTTCGCCTAAGGGTGAATCCAGCGATTCCGCTATCTCGGGGAGTATCGTATTTGGTCTGTGTAACGGCACCCCGGGCATAAAAGGGTTAAACTGCTGTTTAGTAGATCTTCCCCGTCCAGAAACACAGGCACAGCTACTGCAGAACCCCAAACTCCTGAACAGGATACAAAGTAGCACTCCAAACTCCCGAACTGGAACCTCATGAATAGCTGCTAGCATCTGAACAGGAAAAGCACCCAAGCGGCTTACACTCCTGGCAATCAGTCTTTAACAGCATACAGTAAATCCCCCCAAGAACGAGACAAGGCTCCATTTTGAGGGTCAAGCAGGAACAGACAGAGCTGTGGGTATATTGTTCTTATATACACATTCTTACACATTAGTTCCACCCACAGGGTTTTGGAAAACAACCAATAATCACGTATAATACACTCAGACACTCCCACACAAAATCCTCCCCTCTGCCTGTGATACAATTACCTTACACAATGGGTTAATGTAATTATCACAGGCAGAGAAATACAGTTTTTTCCACATTATTCATAACTTTAAAAGTATGCATCACATTCACATAAAACTTGGTTCAAAAGATAGATCGAAGTCCTTTGTGACCAAAGGAAGCATTTCTTTTCTGCCCAAAACCAGTTCCACAGAGTCTTCTATCCTGGAGATAATTGGGAAGTAATCCAATTATCTCCAAGGACAGAAGCAAAACTCCATTAAGCACATGGCAGTAAAAAGACAGTAAAATACAATAAAATATACAAGGTTACATTTATTACATAAAATACAGACATGCAACATATCCCCAGATAGCTTAGGTCTGAGCGCACATTATTACTGAATGGCGCTCAGACCACACACATACAGTTCAATTGCCATCGAGCCAAAGTCTTTTATTACACGAATAGGCTCCATGGCGTAGCTATCTGGGTTAAATTAGTTAATTCAGTAAATCTGAGAATCTACCGAACGCCAGGGCAGAAATACATGAATAGACCTTTCTGCATAGGAAAATAAAGTATTTAAATGCTGGTCCATAGTGAAAAGGTAGCAGGCAGGCAACCAGGCTCCACCAATGCACAGTGGCGAGATTGGTCTCGTCACAGTCTGTGCTCACTTAGGTATTTTTGAATATTGGTAATACGTTCGGTGGGGTTGGCGTATAGTTGTTCGATATAGCGTAGAGTAGAATTTTTGGAACTCTCTCGCTATGTCACGTGGAAAAGGGAATACCTCCCCTGAGGACAGTTTGAGCTCGTGTATCTGCGTGCATTGCCTCGCACCCCTGAGCATGCGGGTTAAGTATTTACTTCCTTTATTAGAGTGTGTGTAAAAGAATCCCTTCGATCTCTGCATAGCCTTAAAATGTTGGCGCAGCAGAAGTTCCGTTACCTGTCATCTAGCTTCCAATAACTCCATGTAGACGGACTTCAAGCGAGACCGTTAATGTTGCAGCTCAATATTGGAGATCTGAGTCGTAAGCTCTGATACATGTCTTGTAGCATCTCTTTTTTCTTTGTTGCAAGGCCTATCAGGGAGCCCTGAATAATGCTCTTGTGTGCTTCCCACAGCGTTAGAGGTGACATGTCATCTGCTTCATTCTCATCAAAGTAGAGGGTCAATGCCTTCTCCACCTGTTTTTCGAGAGCTGGGTCTAGCAGCAAAGATTCTTTGATGCGCCAAGTCCATTCTGCAGGTTTTGCTAGCAAAGACTCTGCGCTAATCAGCACCGGTCTATGGTCTGACCAAGTTGTTGTGCCTATCGTCGCTTTAAATAGGTGGGTGAGATCTTCCTGCTGGAGGAAGAGGTAATCAATACATGAGTGATGGTCATGCATGGCTGAGTAGTGTGTATAATCCCTGCAAGTAGGGTGACATGTTCTCCAGCAATCCACCAGCCTCAGATCCCTAAGTGCAAGACGTATGGTTCGAATATGTTTCTGGTATTTGCAACTATGGCCAGAGGAAGAATTTAGGATGGGATCTAGGGGGACATTCAAGTCCCCTCCTAATATCAGAAAGCCTTCTGTAAAATGTTTCAGTTTAGTCAGCGTCCTGCACAAGAATGGCGATTGGCCATCGTTGGGGGTGTATATAACCGCTAGTGTGTAGATTTTGTCAGAAACCTTCCCTTTGACGATGAGATACCTGCCCTCTGGATCCCTACATCTATCCAGCTCCTGGAATTGCAAAATGACCCCCAGCAAAATTGCAACCCCTGCCTTTCTTGCAGTGGAGTTATTGCTATAGTAATTAATTGGATAGAATCTATTTTGTAACGTAGGGGCTACCCCCTCCCAAAAGTGGGTCTCCTGTAAGAAGGCTATGGAGATACGTTGCATTGGAGTTCCTGCATATATGAGATCAACCCCCTGCAGTTAAGGTATAGAACTGAAAATTACGCTGTACAGTAAGAAATGGGGAATGGTGAGTGGGTAATAGGATAATAAATAATTGAGAAAAGAGAGAAAAAAAGGGGGGTGAGGGGGCATCGAAAGTTAGAATAGAAAGTGAGAGAAGAGGAATTTGTTAAGAAAAGTAAAGAGTTGGGGGTAAAAAGTTACCCCCTGTGGGCTGTGATTTCACAATATTTTCTCCCAATAACTGGGGGTTACTCATGTGGCAGTGGACAGTGGACAGTGGTACTCCCAGTTTGACAGTCCGGAGAAATGGGAAGTCAACAACACACTCCCCGAAGACCACACACAAGTATAACCGGGGTACTGGACTTGGTTCCCTCCCCGTTGGCAAGGCTACCTAGTCAAGTATATCAACCAATTTCTGTAAGTCTCGTAGCTCCTACATATGAAACCAATTACTTAGCAAGTAGCAGAAAAGTACATCTTGTCTCCTTTGTGATAAGTGAGTAAACAAATGTAAGCTATAAATAAGGGAATATGAACCGTAATCCCCCATCCCAGACAGGTACAACAGAACACAGTGTTAATATATTGCGGGGAAATCGAGGATGAACTTTGTAATGCACCTGAAGTAGGTAAATAATGTCAATACTACAGGTGGAGCACACCAAGTATGTTATAGGAAAATCCTTGCCAAATAAGGATTCAATCAATAACAGTGCATTTAACAATGATATTCGATCTATAAGTGATTATATTCAGGTTCCGGGCCCCTCTTCCCTCCTTGCTAACATCAGTGGTATGTCCCCCTTTTTTTTCTCCTAAGGCAGTCGGTATGTTGCTTCACAGAAGAGTACTGTACAGGCTGACATTGTTTGGATGCAGTTGCCCCCTTTCCGAGTGGGTCCACTCCTTTAAGAGGTACCAGAGACCCAAGCTGTTTCAGTCGCCCACCCCCTTTAGGTTCACTTACCACACTGCTTACCATGATTAGCTTTTTTTTTTGTTATGTGTTTAGTAAGATGTCCTCTATCTATTGTTATGTTTCTTTATTGCCAAAATTATAATAAATACTGCATACACAGTGAAGGGAATCATTGCTTTATAAGTTTAAAGTTTTTAATGCGAACGGATCTTCGTGTATATTATTACATTTTGTTGTAAGAAGAAGAATCAAATTTGTTGCAAATTTGTAGCATTTAGTTACTACTGATCAATTAATGTTATTTCCAAACCGTCCATTAAAAAGGTCTGTATAGTTTGTGTGTTCCTTTACCATGAAAAACATTAAAATTACCTTTCCCCTATTGTTTCATCTTCTCTTCCTCTTCCAGAATCAGTTCTTCATTTCTCAATCTCTGATCTATTTCTGTTTAAAACAGTATGTATTTTTCATGCACTTGTGTCCCCCACAGCCCCCATCCATAGATGGCAGCTATTTATTTAATACCTGGGAAGACATGGGCAGTGGGTGGAAACTATTTAATAATCAATAGGGGATGATCATGCTATTGCCCATCCTCCCACCCACCTATGGGCTTAGGGTGGGGGATTGTCAAATGTAATAAAGGGGGTAGACATTGTCCACCCTCAAGCTAAAGCCAATTCCCACCCCACATGGAAGCTACGTGTCTCCAAGTCCCTAGCCACCACTAAATAAAAATTGCCTTACCTACCTAATAGTAGTGTGGGGGGACAGTAAATGTAATACCTGTAAGTGAAAAATGATTCTTACCTTCAGAAGTCTTCTTTCTTGTAAAGTCATCTATTCTATTACATCCCGGTATAAAAAAAAAAGAAGCAAAAATACCTAATAATTAAACCTCACAGTGCCGTGGGTTTTTAAACTTTTTTCCCACTGGTAACAAATAGTATATTCAATTAAAGTCCGCTTGCAAAAAGCAAGTGAACGATAATTTACGAATAGACATCCTACTGCATGCGTTCAGTGCCGATTGAGTTTAAAATTGTCGCTTGACACTTATTCCTATTCCGATTCTTTGTATAGCGTTCAGATGCTAAAAGCACAGATTTTAAACTAAACAACAAATTCTTCCAACCAAAAGACACAGATTCTGTCGGATCTGCATATTTCCAACCAGAATTGACATTATACAAATATGTGATTTGCCATTCCGGTTGGAAATCAGCCATTTGACCAAATACTGTCCAACTTCTGTCCAACTTTCCTTAAAGGCACACTCCACTGCCCACGTACAAAATAAATAAAAATCACTGTATAGTAGATATGTCCCAAATAAAAACTTGCATACATTTAATTATGCATATTGTCATTGCTGGTATAGCTAAAAACTGCTTGCAAAAAACTGCAAATCTTTTGTCTGCTGCCTTTGCAAGCTCTCCTCTTTTAACCCCGCCCAGAATTTCTTCGGCTGTCCAATCACAGACTTCCCAATGCAGTTCAATAAGAAGTATTTGCAAGCCTGGTGCTCTGAGCAATTGCTGCCTTTTGAGTTCAGCTGTATTGAGCAAATGAAACAAGGAAGTAACACGTCCTGTTGTCTGCTTGAAAACCAAGGGGGTGTTACCAGGTTAATTTTTTAAAGTGTCAATTTCTATTGAAATCTGTACTTTTTGCAAAATGAAAAAAAAGAGGACACAATCTTCTCTCATAACATTTTTCAGCAAGCTAATGTGCCTTAGGGGTCTGGAGTAACCCTTTAATGTAAATCCTGCTGTAATGTTCAACGGAAATCAAAAAATAAAAGAAGAAAATAGCATAATCTGTTTGTTCAAGGAAAACATGTAAATATATTCTATATAGAAACATAAATCTGCTAGAAAAAAAAGATTAGAACTCCAGATTGCATATCTCTATAAGTGTGAACAGTAGCAATATCTCATCCGTATCAGCATTTGTCTGTCGAGTTCATGGAAGAGATCTATATACTATTTGTGACTATGTAAACACTGCTGGTTCTGTAGGTTTGCAGAGATACTAAAGCAGCATATCCCACAAAGACAGCGGTTAAGGGTGAACTATGTGCTGAAAAACAAAAAATAAAATAGAAGGTTCTCAAAATAAGGAATTTTAATAATGCACTTAATAAGTGATGATTTGTTGCTATAGATAAAAAATGGAAACAGGAGCTATAGTCTGTTAGCTTTATTTCAATGGTGAGTGGGGCCTCGTGGGGAAGAGCAAGTGATATGATGGCATATCCTTCACCTACTACTATCTTTGTTAACCAGGAGGAATTGCAGTGAAAGCAGTGGCAAGCTGGTACATCTCCTGTTACTGCCCTTGCACTATATATCCAATGGAAGCGAGTGACCATGGGGTATCCAGATTGATCAGACCACAAAACAGGAGTTAAAAAAAAAAAAAGCATTAAAAAAACGTCAGCTGCCTGGTGCTCGTAGACTGTTTTGGGGAGCTCTCCTTCTGGCTGTGCCGCCTCTACCCACCTGCTGCTCCAAAGCCACTGCCTGTCTTATCGTAAATTGATGATGTCACCACAAAACATAGAAACACAAAGTAACAAGTCCAGTAAAGAATCCCTGTTCTGGTGAAGTCTCTCAGAAAAAGTTGAAATCTATATTTGAATGGGTTGTGAAAACAGTTATTTGCAGATTGGTATACACATTTTATTAACTTTAATGTTACCTTGCTATTAGCTAGCTCTATATAGACATATCAGATGTTTATAGCGTAAATTGTAATATTATTATAAAATAAATGGTAACCTACCCTTGTATATCAGTCGCTGTGCATGATTACTCATAAAAGTCAAAATAGTCTATCTGGTGACATAGCACTTCACTATCACAGGTCATCATCTGCGTAAACATCCTGATAAGACATTTTATTTTTACTTGTATTAAAAATCATGTGATGTGATTGATTCCATTTACACAGTGGAGTTGAAACTTCATTCGTAGCTGATGTATATACTTTGTCTGTGTATAGAATATGCTCCAGCACTCTGTGAGGGGTTGAAGATCCATAGCCAACCTGGGGACGTTCTAACTATCCAGGACATCATATCTATTTCGAGGTCTCTAGGATTCTGATTATAGAATGACGTTAGGCAGAGCTAAATGAAGCAACATCTGGTGAGACATTCGTAGAATGAAGGGTACACCATTATGCAGTATACCCTTGGTGTCTAAGTGGAGTTGTGTGTATGATTCTTCATTTTGACTTTCTATTGTTACAAAATTCTTTCAAATACAGCTAAAAGCCAGTTGCATGTAAGCTTTGTAATTCACAGAAGCTACTTACAGTGAAACTTTTTTCACTGTCGAAGAAGTATTTAAAAATGTATAAAATGAATTGAAAGAATTTAAAAAGGATTCCAGATACAAAAATCATACCATCTAGAAAAAAAAGCAAATATTGAACCCAGCTGTTAAAATTAAACAAGACATTTTTTTATTGTTTATTATGACCAATGAGCAAATCTCACATGACTGACTCAGTTAGCAACTTGAAAATATTTTCTTTTTAGAACAGGATTTTAGAAACGGTTGTTAAAGGAACATTGTTACTAAAGCTGTCCTAGTGCATATTTAGTTTCATCTCCCCCCCCATCACCTTCATCTGTAAAAAAAAGAAAAAAAAGGTTTTACTTACCTTTTACCCAGTGCAGAGACACACTCGGCTCTGCCGCTCCCTCCTCCTCCTGCGTCAACTTCCTGGAGGAATTGCTTTCCTGATGAGTATCCATTCCAATCCTCCTCATAGAGGAGCAATGATGGCGAGAGAGATGCGCGTGCATGTCGAGGGTCGAACTCATGTCCATTCCAATGCTTCACATAGAGAACCATTTAATCCAGTGCTTTCCTATTAACTGCATTTGGCAACGCTTGACGTCCTCATCCATGTCTGGAAAAGTGCTGCTAGTGATGTGTTTTATCTCTCAATTTAAAGACTGCAGTTTCGACAAAACAGCAATGTTTTACATAGAAGGGTTGAAATTCTAGGGCAACTGCACCCAGTTCCAGACTGCGTCATTGGAATGAAGTAGTTTGGGTGACTTTTGTAGTCCATTAATGTATTACTTTAGGGGAAGCAGGATCAAATCTGTGAAAAAAATTGTAAAATAAGTTTTGAGTAAGCCCTTTCAAACTGGAACGTAATAACACATGTCCCTAGCAGGTAAGAGCTGTTTCACATCTTTTCTATATTTAAAAGAAGAAAAACTACCACAACAAGAGGACATAACTGGAGGGGCAAATGTTTAAAAATAATATCAGGAAGTATTACTTTACTGAGAGGGTAGGATGCATGGAATAGCATAGTAAAGAAGTTTAAGCATGCGTGGGATAGGCATAAGGCTATCCTAACTATAAGATTAGGCCAGGGACTAATGGAAGTATTTGAGAAAATTGGGCAGACTAGATGGGCCGAATGGTTCTTATCTGCCATCACATTCTATGTTTCTATGTTTCTACATCAAGGTTGGTGATGTAGTGTAAACATGATGAAAAATGGGACCGTGCAAACACCAAAATACTTGTTGAAGACTACTTAAAATCACCTACCTATGCAAATAAATATGGGAATACTATTATACAATATGGCCATGCCGGGCTTAAATCCACCACTGTACGTGAACACAGATGAGGGACTGCTCATGCTTAATAGCTGGACCTCACTCTGTGGTACCTCTCACAGCTGGGTGCCAATTTCCAATTTGTAAATAATTGTAACAGATGTCCAGGCACACACAGAGAAGTAATCCAAAGCAGAATAATTTATTTGGACATAGGGGTTAGCAACATTTTGACTCTATATTGAGTCTTCATCAAGCTTGTGTGTAGACTTGAAATGTGGTCAAACCCTATGTCCAAAAAAAGCCTGCTTTAGATTACTTCACTGTGTGTGCCCGGACATCTCTTACAATTCGACATGTATCTCAGTATTGGTGAGTTCTACACTAAGTTTATACATGCTGCTCGCAATACATGCTGCTTAAACTGCTTCCAGAGACTCAAAATATATGATTTCCTGTAGTCATCTCCAAAGCGGCACCTCTAGTGCATGGGTGGGGGTGCTCAACCCAAAAGTAATCTGGTCTAGATTCCAAATAAACACAGAAACAAAAGGGAATTGGTGACACATCCGGAACATGCATTTTTTTATTAGTGTTGCTGCTGTGAAGGCAAAAAATATATACAAAATACAGATAAGGGAATAAGGCACACAAAAAATACAGTTTTAAATCTTTCAAGTTTAGTTACAATCAACTATCTTGGAAAATACATATTTATTTCATCAAACAATATAACCCTTTGGCCATATTTATTTGCCAAGATAGGTGATTTTAAGTAGCCCTGTAAGATTCTAGTGTGTGCCCTGTTAAATTAATTTGTATTTTCATATGTGTTCATATTGTAAAGCTAACAGACAGACAGACAGACAGTAGATAGATAGACCAAATTATTTTTTCTTAGTGTCCTCTGACTTAGAGGTCCTTTGTGTTAATCCTTCCATGCTTCTCTCAGATGTGTAACGATAGAAGGAACATCTTTATATAATGAGGGATGTGAATTGTGGCCACCTAACAAGACAGTTCTACTGAAGACTGTCTATCAAACACGTTACTTCCAGGAGTAATGATTAATGAATCCCAGGTTACTTTTACAACTGCATATTATATTATTCTCCAAGAACCAATGACTAAATCATGCGATAGCTCTCAGCATTTTAATTTCAGGTCTACATTCTGCACAACATGATAACCTTTTTAATCAATCTATTTGGAAAATATAATATTTTTTTTAATTGACTTAGAAATTACCTTTTAAAATTAACATTTACAAAATAGCCTAAATAAACCTCTGGTGTCAAATGGATATCACATATCGATTATGAAGGCCTTGATCACAATACAGCAGCTGTTTTAAGTTGCTAATGTTCTTAATGTTTTTGGTTTCTATATTATTGTTTTTACGGTCGTTCGTGGTTTCATATGACAAATATGCAATCTTCTAGAGGGAAACTCACATATTCAATCTGAGTATTACTAGTGTATAAAAATTATACACAGTAAATGTACAGCTTCCCAGTGAGTGAGTTAAAAATTCTGGATACTCAAACACCTGTGTGGGATCCCCTTAATCCACACCAAATACAAAACACAAATATATACACAAGGTGGAGTATCTTGCATGAACTGTGGAGAATAAATGAAAGATTATTAAGGAAAAATTATCCTAAAATAAAAGAAAAGCAAACACTGTCGCAATATCGTTGGTATCCAAGGGATATAGTATTAAAGTATATGAAAATAGTAAGAATTGTAGAACATGTCGGGAATGTCAAAAAGGGGGTAGAAACGCATAGTGTCCCCCTCCACTTTAAACACAACACACAATCAAAATCCAGAAGGGTTACTCTTTTGTGCAATAAAAGAGGTTAAAAAGGATTGGAGACAGGGTAACTATGTAAAACAAATTAGGAAGAGAGGAAATTAAATCCATTTTTAACTTTAAAACATTAATTCCATGTGGTGTAAATTCAGATTTTGAAGTTTGCCATTTTTATCCAAATTATACCTTTTTAAAAATTCTTTGTTTTTATAGCATCTATCCATATTTATTAAAATTTATTTATATTTTTAGATACCTACATCACAACTTCAGAGACATAAAAGGGTGTAAATGGAATTCAAATCTTTTTTTTTACTATAATATAAAGATTCATATGAACTAAAGTTTCATACTTTATAATGCATATTTTATTTGTATGCATCTTTTATAAATATAAACTTCTTTTGTAATATTCATTTTATTCATCCACTTTATTGTAGTAAATATACCTTTTCCCTGATCATTTGCCCTCTTTGTAACATGGGATTCTCTTCTCTTCTTTCCTTTTTTCTTTTTTTCCCCTATGATATGAGTCTTTTTGTTAAGGATATGGACAAACCACTGTGAGGTGTAATGGTGGAACGTAGTGATGCTTTCCTAAATAAGAACACACGTCTATAGACTTGTGAAGAGGAAATAACCTCAGTGGAAAGCAAAGTTGCGTTCCAACATTGGGATAAGAAACCGGAAGTGCATCAGACGGTAGGAGACGTGCATCCCATCAGTGGAAGCAAAACCAGAACCAGAAGAAGAGATAATAACGATATTGCGCCAGTGTTTGCTTTTCTTTTATTTTAGGATCATTTTTCCTTAAGGATCTATCATTTATCCTCCAGAGTTCATGTAAGATACTCCACCTTGTGTATATATTTCTAAAAATTATATATATATATATATATATATATATAAAACAAGAGGGGGTTGGCTGCACTCACCTGAACATGCATAAATGGGGGTGCTGCTGGGGGCCAAATAATACAATACACAAGATCCAGCGCACTCACCTATCCACTAAACAGCAACTTCAATGTTGAAAGATTTTTTTAAATTTTTTTTTTTAAACACCTAATCTAGGCAAAAATAATGGGGGTTTAGTTACATTATATGATCATACATTGCAATTGCCTGCCACAACGTCAATGTACCCCATCTTTGGCAGGTCCTACACTAACAGCCTAATGTCTGCTCTTATGAGATTAACCTACTTGGGAAAAAAATTCCATCTGGGGCTCTCTGCAGTACAAGGCTAAATAGGGCCCTGGGATGAGGCACCTGTGACAGGGAGGGGTGCAAAACCAAGGAGTTGGCTAGACTCCCAAATATATATATAAAACAAGAGGGGGTTGGCTGCACTCACCTGAACATGCATAACTGGGGGTGCTGCTGGGGGCCAAATAATACAATACACAAGATCCAGCGCACTCACCTATCCACTAAACAGCAACTTCAATGTTGAAAGATTTTATTTATTTATTTTTTTTAAAAACACCTAATCTAGGCAAAAATAACGCCTAGATTAGGTGTTTTAAAACAAAAAAAAAAACAAATAAAATCTTTCAACATTGAAGTTGCTGTTTAGTGGATAGGTGAGTGCGCTGGATCTTGTGTATTGTATTATTTGGCCCCCAGCAGCACCCCCAGTTATGCATGTTCAGGTGAGTGCAGCCAACCCCCTCTTGTTTTATATATATATTTGGGAGTCTAGCCAACTCCTTGGTTTTGCACCCCTCCCTGTCACAGGTGCCTCATCCCAGGGCCCTATTTGGCCTTGTACTGCAGAGAGCCCCAGATGGAATTTTTTTCCCAAGTAGGTTAATCTCATAAGAGCAGACATTAGGCTGTTAGTGTAGGACCTGCCAAAGATGGGGTACATTGACGTTGTGGCAGGCTTATGCAATGTATGATCATATAATGTAACTAAACCCCATTATTTTTGCCTAGATTAGGTGTTTAAAAAAAAATAAAAAATAAAATCTTTCAACATTGAAGTTGCTGTTTAGTGGATAGGTGAGTGCGCTGGATCTTGTGTATTGTATTATTTGGCCCCCAGCAGCACCCCCATTTATGCATGTTAAGGTGAGTGCAGCCAACCCCCTCTTGTTTTATATATATTTGGGAGTCTAGCCAACTCCTTGGTTTTGCACCCCTCCCTGTCACAGGTGCCTCATCCCAGGGCCCTATTTAGCCTTGTACTGCAGAGAGCCCCAGATGGAATTTTTCCCCAAGTAGGTTAATCTCATAAGAGCAGACATTAGGCTGTTAGTGTAGGACCTGCCAAAGATGGGGTACATTGACGTTGTGGCAGGCTTATGCAATGTATGATCATATAATGTAACTAAACCCCCATTATTTTTGCCTAGATTAGGTGTTTTAAAAAAAAAATAAAAATAAAAAAATCTTTCAACATTGAAGTTGCTGTTTAGTGGATAGGTGAGTGCGCTGGATCTTGTGTATTATATATATATATATATATATATATATATAAAACAAATTATGTTTCTAAACTGACTCATCCTGATTTACAGCTAGCTTTAATTTCAAGACAAGGAACGCATTCTATTATACTTCTGTCACGGGTGGCGGTACGGAAACCAGGACCTCTGTGTGCCTGATGATGATCGGAGTCAACCTCATGGAAATGAAACAATCAGGGCCTGGTGCAAGGTAACCTCACGCCCCCTGGTGTTGAGCACCAGGGTTTGTGCGGCCACATCCCAGGGCCCTGATGCAGCGTCTGCGGATCACAGGAACTAGGAGAAAATATGCAGACCTCCCCATCTGGATAGGGAGGCTCTGCAGCAGATATGTATCCAGTACTAGAAACAAGGCAAGACTAGAACAGGCACCAAACAAGAAACAACTAGTATAACCCAGAACCAGAGAAGGATATAAAGCAAAACCCAGAACATGTACACAAGACATGAGAGAAACATGAACAGGGCAGGACAGGACTGTACATGGACTGGGAATACAAAATAAAACAAGACAAGGTATATAAGGCAAAACAAGAGGAGACAAAACTAAGTACTATATATGTAAAACATTGGAGATTTAGACATACATAAATGGCCAAGATGTATGCAGCCCACCACTGTGGCAAAGTACTTCAATTACGGTGGGTTCCTATCTGCCTAGATATGCATGACTAAATAAACAATAATAAAACACACACAGCACTTAACTGCAATAAAGGAACAGAGGACTTGGAATAACTGCCTGCAGGAACCAACTGAAACAAAAGGATTAATGGAAAAGGAACGGGTGTGGCAACATAAAACAAACAGATAAAGGAATCCAGGAGACTGGGAATTCCAGGAACGGAATACAGGAATGAACCCAGAAAACCCAGCAAAAAGAAAACCAGACATGGAATAGAGAATCCCCAAAAAACCAAGAAAATATAAACAAGAATTGTAAAAAGAATACTGGATACCAGAAGCCATAGCCAGAAATGATCTGCAGCAGAAACAGGACTTGACAACTTCTGAGTATTGCATGGGTCCTGCCCCCCACCAAAAAAAAAATTAATTAAAAAGTCCTATTGTATTATTATCTATTTTTCTTTGCTCCCCTCGCTTTCCTCTTTACACTTCTATAACTCTAACTTCTTTTTGTCAATTACCAGAAGAACTCATTTTGAAATCAGATGTTTTTTTCGGTGACCCAACGGCAAGGTTTAGCTATGTTTGAAAGTCAGTTTTTGATACTACTGAGGTCAGATTTGTAATATAAATTTCAATTTGTGCTATAAGGGATGTCAGACGATAAATAAATAATTAAAAAGTTAAAGAAAACTCTAAATAATGAATTCAACAAATACTGAAAATGTTTTAAAGTTATGTGATACTATTACTTTTCAGATTTGTTATAAAATCTAATGTGACAAGGTTATTTAATAAGTTGAGAATAGTTGGGAATTCAGAATAAATTTATAGGGAATTTTAAATTTAATACCAAAGTAGTTAAACGGGATGAAAATTTCCCAGTCAGCATTAAAACAACTTTAGCTTAATGAAGCAGTTTTGGTGTACAAATCATGCCCTTACAATCTCACTGCTCAATTCTCTTTTTTTATGAGTTAAATTACTTTTGTTTCTGTTTATGCAGCCCTAGCCACACCTCCCCTGGCTGTGACTCACACAGTCTGCACAAATAAAATAAATTTTCAATCAGATCTGTACTTGCTTTAGAAATGTGTATCTCCTGCTCTGTAAATTGAACTTTAATAACACACAGCAGGGTATAGAAGGCTATTAACAGAGCAGGAGATAAGAAATTAGAAATTAAACAAAATGTGCAATAAGGAAGTTTAAACATTAGCTCTCTCTTTGCAGGAAGTGTTTAGGGAAAGCTGTGTAAATCACATGCATGGAGGTATGGCTGTGGCTGTATAAACAAAGTCATTTAACTCCTAAATGTCATAGAATTGAGCAGTGAGACTGCAGGGGCATGGTCTATACACCAAAACCACTCCATTAACCTGAAGTTGTTTTGGTGCCTATAGCGTTCCTTTAACTTTTACTTTGAATTGCCGTTGAATTCCCTACAATTCTCACTTTAGTAAAAACCTTGTAAACGTGAGTACTTTGAAAATATGCTGTTTTATTTTTCAACTTTATACACAAAAGATTTCAGTTTTAAATTAGTGTTTTCAGATCATAAAACAATTCTTACTTTAGAAAATATTTTTGCTGTTTTAATAACAAAAGGACATGGAACAGTTTATTACATTATAATTCCAGTAATATACCAAGAAGATATATGATAATACTCAAACCATATGAAAAAAACATATGAAAGAACATTTAATGGCTTGGTGGAATAAAACTTTTGGGCATGTGACAAATGTCTTAGTCATTATCCTACTGGCACAGACAGAGATTATCTACTTGTTGGTAAAATACATCTGTAAATGTAATTTGTGGAAAGCGAACAGCAAGTTTTTAGTTCTGATGGAACAAATATTTATTTACTTTTTTACCATTTGTGGGTACATTGACTTGTACAGCCATACAACTGTCAGTTCCATCAATGTTATAGTTTGTAGCTACGTCAAAATTAAAATTTTTATTAAAAATCATAATAAATTAATTTGTAATGTCCGATGGCTATGACAGGAGAAATGGCCCTACACTAACTGTAAGACTCATATTTCTGTGATCGTATTACATTCACTCACCCATTTCATCTAATTATTTATATGTCTATAAATTTGTAAAACACATTAACTTAGCAAACAAGCACAGATACAGACAGTTGATGAGATGTAGGAGAGGAATGGAGAAGGACTGAACAGAAAGGTAGTTTGTTAGCTTATTCGGAAAATCTCTATCAATGAGCCATATCTTCAGTTTCTTCTGACATATTTGTTTGTCCTCAGTTGTTGTAATGTTTAAGGAATTGGCCTTCAAGACCAGCTCATCTTGCACTGATAGTGAAATTAGTTTTTTTAATTCTTCCATTACAGGTGGAGTACCGCCACCGTAAAGGACGGAAATGCTAAAAAGAGAGCCTAGCCTAAAATGCTAATTAAATTAAAATATCACAGGCTTTTCATTGACTTTTAGCAAGCGTGAAAGATTTGACATAAATATCACTATCATAGAAGTATGATTTGTTTACAGTTATCATGGTATAATTTGTGTCAGCCTCAGGCTCGATTGTTTTTATACTAATATAAAGTGGAATAGTTTCCTTGATAGAAGTGATACAGTGCCAACTGTCAATGCCTTCTGTTTGAAGCTCTGACTGGAGAGGCACAAACTCTCATTCGCCTTGTTCTTGAAATTCCAGAAGTGTTTGAAAATCTGTCATACTTTGGTTGGATCCATCATTTGATTTTAACAGGTTGAGTCAGATGTAATTGTGAATTTAGTAGAGAAGGGTAAGTCAAAAGTGACATTTTATATGAACTCAACCTCAATGCCTTTCTTCTGACAGAAGGATGTTGCCTTGATAAATCAATTTATATATCCATATTTGCTTTGAAACATTATCACATTTACTTCTTTTTTAAAAAAATTTTTAAACAAATGATGTGTTTGGAATTCACAAAGAACCCTGAATTTAATTGTTGACTAGGTTGACTAACAGTTCGATTCCTGCAAAAGGATGTTACTAAAAGTTAGTAACTGCGTATATCATTGCTTATTCTCCAGATTGTTAACAAAAGTTCTGATTTGTTGAAACTCTGTTGAGTATTGAAGCTACTTGTAGGACTGTCAAAGGCTATGAGAAGGGATCATCTGATTTGTTTGTACAGGCAGTGTTTTTTATGCATTACATTATGTAATACAGAATATTGCACTATACACATTTTTTCACGTGTATTATGTTATATGAAACATTTATACCATACAAGGACGTTGTTATTGATGAAAGAATTTTTTTTATCAAATAGTTTAAATTTACTTATGTCTTTTTTTTTTGTAAACACTACATGTTCACTAGACATATAAGACAAAATAACACTTAATTCTAATGCTTAATTTACAAATTTACAGTCCAGCATTGTCATTTCCGATGTCATCAGCGGGGATCAACTATATATATTTTTTTCAATGTCTCATTTTTTCAACATGTAAGGAATATTCAAGGTGT